TTTTTTTTTTTTGGCTCAACAAATTTACCTTTTCTTGGGGGTTTTTTGTTCAACAAGTTTGCCCCAGAATACCGGCACCATTTTTCTTACCAAAAAAAAGCACTGCCCCAGGTGAATTGCATGTTAGCTCTCCCACCAGATTTAAAACAAAGTTATTTACAAGATGAAAACAGGTACAAATATACAGCTACAACAAATCAATTAGTAACAGAAACACCTGGTCAGACGCTATATATGTCCTTGAGTGCTCACCCAGGTGAAGCAGTTAGGGATCTCCTGCTTATGGCTAGAAAGCCTTGCCTTTCTCGGGCTCGTGGTGTGAAAGCAGTCGCTGACAGAAATGCTGGAGACCCCGAGTTGCTGCCGCGCTTCTGCCTGGTGAGTTACAGACAGGCCCAACACAAGAGCTCCAATATGGAACAGGGATGTCAGAAATGAGATTATTGAATGCTTGCGAGTGGCTGCAGCATTAAATACCTACTTTGGCACATAGGTGAGCCAGGCTGGCCCTAGCTCTGTATTTCTCCGTGTTCCATTCAGACACGGGGACTTTGGCATGATGTGAAACCTGTTCGGTGTGTCGCATCTAATCCTATCCCTGCCTTCTTCTTTGCACTGGGCTCCGGGAAAGGAGCGAACAAACATCTCTTCTCTTACTCCCACGTGCCGGGCTCTAGGCGTCCCATGAACAGTTCAAACGGAGACCTGCTCCCTCGGCGGGTGCTGCACTATTGAAACTAAATGGAACATTGAAACCTGTTGAAAATGTCCCTGCTGTTCTGCAATGAGTCAGATGTGACAGCCAACAATGATCACGGTCAGGTTTTTCCAGGGCTAATTTCCATGACACTCCTGTGATTGGCCCCTTCCATGGCAGCCTGCTTTGCAGCTGTAAATGCATCCAGTTTGCTGCAGATCCAGCGCCTCTCGCTTGTGCACCGCAGGCTGCTGACCCCGTTCTCGTCGTTCAGATACGCGCAGTCACCGCCTCCTCGGATCCTGAACCTGCAGGGTAGAAGCCAGGGAGCAGGTGTCAGGCAGGATCTGGGTGTTTTCCATCAATCACAGGCAGGGGGCGACACTTGCACAGGGCAGGGAGCTGCTGCATTATAGCCCCCCTCAGTTCCCCTTCCTGCACCAGCATCAGGTCCCGCCTCCTGGCAGCAGGGTGCAGCAGGGCCAGGCGAGGTTCCAAGATGAAAGAGGCTGGCAATGCAGGCAAAGGAAGGCATTGCCTTCCCAAAGTTGCATACACTGCCCTGGAGGAGGCTGCACTGTGCTACAGCCAGTCCTGCTCCCCGGCATCTGGGGAAGGCTGCGGGCCATGCAGCACGGCAGCTCTGGCCCTCATCTGGGGTTGGGTGGGACTTGACTGGAGGGCGGGGTGAAAAGTTGTGAAGGGGCGGTCTACAGTTTTTCAGAGTTCTTTAGAGTTCTTTATTTTCAGGTTTCCTCTTAGGGTAGGCAAGCAATTTTTAAAGCCGGTTGAAGACAAAAGACTGACTGCTTTCCATTCCCTAGGGTGCGAATCCTTTATTTAGCATTCCATATCCTCATGGAAAAATACCAGATTCAAGTAGCCTGCCCACGTGTTTTGCTAAGACCAACCACAGTTTGGACTTACAGGAAAAATAAAACCGTTCATGGGTCGTTGGTTTGAGCACTGAGCCATTAAGCTCTCAGAGTATAACCAATAGCCCTCCTTAGCACATTTAGAATAAAAAAACAGATTTACACTTCATATTTCTAGCTTCAAGTACAATATATGAACATAACGCCATACTGGGTCAGACCAAAGGTCCATCTAGCTCAGTATCCTGTCTGCAGACAGTGGCCAATACCAGATGCCTCAGAGGGAATGAACACAACAGGTAATCATCACGTGATCCCTCTCCTGTCATCCATTCCCCAACAAACAGTCTATGGACACCATTCCTACCCATCCTGGCTAATAGCCATTGATAGACCTAACCTCCATGAATGTATCTAGCTCTTTTTTGAACCCTGTTAAAGTCCTAGTCTTCACAAAATCCTCTGGCAAGGAGTTCCACAGGTTGACTGTGCGCTGAGTGAAGGAAAACTTCCTTTTGTTTGTTTTAAACCTGCTGCTTATTAATTTTATTTGGTGACCCCTAGTTCTTATATTATGGGAATAAGTAAATAACTTTTCCTTATTCACTTTTTCTAGACCAGTCATGATTTTATATACCTCTATCATATCACGCCTTAGTCTTCACTTTTCTAAATTGAAAAGTCCCAATCTTTTTAATCTCTTTTCCAAACCCGTAATCATTTTTATTGCCCTTTTCTGAACCTTTTCCAATGCCAATATATATATTTTTTTTTAGATGAGGTGACCACATCTGTATGCTGTATTCAAGATGTGGCTATACCATGGTTTTATGTAGGGGCAATAAGATATTCTCCGTCTTATTCTCTATCCTTTTTTTAACAATTCCTAACATTCTGTTTGCTTTTTTGATTGTTGCTGCACACTGAGGGAACATCTAGACTACAGGCTTTTGTTGATAAAGGCTTTGTCGACAGATACTGTTGACAAAGCCTCTGTCGAAAAAGAGCGTCTAGACTACAGCCAGTTCTGTTGACAAAGCAAGAAGCTTTTTCGACAGACTCTAGAACCTCACTTTTGAAAAAGCACAGTGTGGATGCAATAGTGCCTTTTTTTGACATAACTGTCCAAAAAAGCATTATTCCTCATAGAATGAGGTTTACCGCTGTCGACAAAACTGCCACGTTCTGTCGACTTACTGTTGACAGAACTCGGCGGTAGTACAAACGCAGGTGTAGTTTTGTTGACAAAAGTCCACTTTTGTCAACAAAACCCTGTAGTCCAGACACACCCTGAGTGGATGGTTTCAGAGAATGATCCACAATAACTCCAAGACCTCTCTCTCGGGGCGGGGGGGATAGTTAATTTAGACCCCATCATGTTCTAAGTATACATTGGCTATGTTTCCCAATGTGCATTACTTTTCACTTCTCAATGCTGAATTTCATCGGCCACTTTTGTCATTGCATCTCATTGAAGTCAGCTTTGGTCTTAACTAGCGTGAGAAATTCTGCACATTTTGCTCCATCACCACCCTCCATGCCCTTTCCAGATCACATACGAAATGTCAAATAGCGCTGATACCTATGCAGATCCTTGGCAGACCTCAATATATTCCCCGCTTCAATGTGAAAAGTGACTGTTTATTCCTATCTTTGTTTCCTTTGGTTTAACTGGTTAGTGCTCCAAGGAGAGGGACCTTTCCTCTTATCTCACAACAACAGCTTGTTTTGTTTAAAAGTCCTTGGAGTGATACCTTGACAAATGCTTTCTGGAAATCTAAGGACACTCTATCTCCCTTGTGCACATGTTTGCGGATGCCCTTGTAGCTGTCTCAAACTGATGAGGCGTGATTCCCCTTTATAAAAGCCCTGTTGACTTCCCCAATTCACCCTGTTCAGTTATGTGTCTAATAATTCTGTTCTTTCCCAGAGTTTCAGCCAATATGCCTGGTATTTATGTCAGATCTAGGAGCCTGTACTTTCCAGGTTTGTCTTTGGGGTGTTTAAAAAAAAAAAAAAACAGTCATATAGAACTGAGGCTAATGAAAGTTGTAAGTTGCAAAACCACAGGTAGTAATTATGCCGTTCCAAAGCAGAGTTCATTTAGAACTCTTGGATTTATCCCATCTGACCCTGGTGACCTACTGCTGTTTAATTTATTAATTGTTCCAAAAACTCACTTAGGGTGTGTCTACACTATAAAGTTAATTCGAACTAACAGACGTTAGTTCGAATTAACTTTGATAGGTGCTACACAGGCAAACCGCTAGTTCGAACTTAATTCGAACTAGCGGAGCGCTTAGTTCGAACTAGGCAAACCTCATTCTACGAGGACTAAGCCTAGTTCAAATTCACTAGTTCGAATTAAGGGGTGTGTAGCCACTTAATTCGAACTAGTGGGAGGCTAGCCCTCCCCAGCTTTCCCTGTTGGCCACTCTGGGCACCACCAGAGAAACTCTTCTGCCCCCCTCCCGGCCCCGGAGCCCTTAAAGGG